TTTGGTCGATAATAGCTCAGGACAGATGGGGAGATTGTGCATGGTTAAAAGCATACTGGATTATCACAGTATAAACCACAAAAATGACACAGAGGGTAACAGGAGGCAATATTTAAAATAGAAATGAGTAAGTAGGAGTCTGGGAGAGTCAAATGTTAACAAGGGATTCAGGGTCCAACTTAAAGAAGCTCAAGGAAACCAGAAATTGGTCTTTTTACTTGGAAAGCGGATCATTATTACCACCATTATTTACTGAGTACCTGCTGTGTGACAGATATTGCTTAGGTGCTGGGGAGAATATAGTGTTTAAGAACAAGATCTGTGCCCACCAGGACTGATGGTCAGGCAGTCAAGTGAGCACTGTGACTTGTGAGTAAGACAATCAACTGGCTGAAAAGCTGAAGTCTCCGAGACCTGAAATACAGCAGGCAGGGAAATCCTGACACACAGGATGGAGGAAAGTAAAACGGCAAAGAACAAGAGCTGTACTGGGGGCCCATCTGCTGGTGCAGCACAGACATCTAAGCTGGTCAGGGACCTCAGGAGGCAAGAGAGATGGCTCAAATGAGATTTTAAAGGATAAAAAAAAATCAATCTGGAAATCTGCATGTTTATCCCTAAGGCAAAGTGAGGGTATTTCCTATGAATAGTCATGGTTAAGGACAACATCCCTGTCAGCCAGAACCCACGGTCTGGCAGTTAAGTGAGTACGAAGAAGGTAAAGCAGAAAGAGAATAAGGTATTTCCAGCAACACACAAAATTCTCACCATGTCCATGTTTTATCTTTAGAGATATCTTACCTTTTCAGGGCTGCTTCAGTTTTTATTGTAAACACATATCAATTTTGAAAAGAATTTAGGTTAGGGATCTGAGAAGCAGAAGAATCCCATAATGTAATTTTTCTCTGGAATCTCACTATCTTGTAGGGTCTTATCACAGTTAAGACTAGTTACCTCCCATATAATTACAGAACCTTTAGACTTTTGTAATGTAAGGTGCAAATGTAGTATAGTTCATGTATAGAATTTTTTTTTTGAAGATTTATTTATTTATGTATACAAGAACCAGGGTACAGGCCAAAGGTGCAGGAGGGTGAGAGGATTCACCAGAGACAGATGGGGAGCAGAACAGGCAGACTGGCGATACACTGCTGAGGGGAGCAGCAGGAGAGACAGGAGAGGTCTGCCGCGCCATGTGGGATTCTCGCCGGCCAGCCAGGATCGAACCTGCGCTGCAGAGGCTGCGGACAGCTTCACAGCGCTGCGCTCAACCGCCTGCACCACTTGGGGAGGCCCATGTCTAGAATTTTTAAAATAAACTGATGGAAGTAAATTGAGGACAGTTTGGTGAAAAACTGACTTAGAGTACTATAGTCACAAAATTTCTTCCAACCTTCATTTTCAAGGCAAAGATCTTTAAAGCGATGCTTGGAAATGAGATCTGCATAGGCTGAAGCTTAGTATTGTGTATTTTTTATGTTGAAAATAAAAGTGGTTGTAAAATGGGATCCACTTAAGAAAATATGTTTTCTTTTGAACCAATTATTTTTAAGTCACAGTATTGTCTAAGAGATTATGCAAAGATATTCATTTTTATTTTTTACATGAAGGAAACAAATTAAAACTAATAGTAATGATTTGTATTTTTAAATCATAAGAAATATATCATAGACCTACTAGAAAACCAGCTGAGTTTCCATATCTTCTAATTTGCTTCCCCTCTTTTGGCAACAGTTAAGAACAAGTCATTTTTGGGCCTCCCCGGTGGCGCAGCAGTTGAGCGCTGGGTTGCGAAGCTGCCCGCGGCCTCTGCAGCGCCGGTTCAATCCCCAGCTGCTCCCCGGCCACCGGAGGAGGGTCCCACATGGTGCGCAGACCTCTCCTGCCGCCCGCTGCTCCCCTCAGCAGTGTACTTCAGTCCTTCTGCCTGCTCTGCTCCCCGCTCTGGCTCTGGTAAATTCTCTCACCCTCCCGCGCTTCTGACTGTACCCAGTGCTTGTATAAACAAAACAAACAAACAAATGAAAAAAAAATCATAAATAAATAAAAATACATGCCTCTTAAAAAAAAAAAAGAACACAAGTCTTTTTTTAAATACATTTTTAAAAGATTTATTTATTTATGCATACAAGAACAAGGGTACCAACCAGACATGGGGTGTGTGTCAGAGGATTCACCAGAGACAGAGTGGGGAGCAGAACAGGTGGATTGACTGAAATACACTGCTGAGGGGAGTAGCGGGCAAGTCAGGAGAGGTCTGCTGCACCATGTGGGTCACATTCCTGGCCATGGATGGAACTCGTGCTGCAGTAGCTGCGATTGCTTTATAGTGCTGATGCTTAACCCCTTGTGCCACCAGGGAGGCCCCTGAACAAGTCTTGATAGCTCACAATTCTGCACCAGTCCATTTGCTCCAGATCTGTACTACCACCCTAGTCCAGCAATCTTTTATTGAGTTATCTTGATCATACCCTTACTTTCTTACAGGTCTTTTTTTTATTTTTTTAACAACACAATCAGAATCATATTTCATTATAACTGTCAGATCATGTCACCTGCTCATGAATTTCTGTTCCACTTAAAATCTAAAATCCTTTAATGACCCATGAAGATCTGGCTCTTTGTTCCTATCCATGTCATCTCCTTGCACCCTCTGTCTGCTCCCACCCGCTTCTGTGCTCCAGCTAGCACTCACCAGTTCATCTGGACAGATGGCCTTGCATTTAATACCCATTCTTCCTGGATTGTTTCCCCACAGTTCTTATAAGCATTGCTTTCCCTACGCCATTACTGACTCATCTTAAAGATCACCTTCATAAAGACACCTTTCCTGAGCACCAGTTCAAGGCAGCTCTCTGTCACTTACTCTCATCATTTTGTTTTGTTTTCATTTATTCTTTAAAGTAAGACATATTTATTGAGCACATACTTTGTGATGAAGAACTCCCTTTAATGGAGTTTTCTTTCCAGTGAAGGGGAACAACAAATAATCATCACTACCCGGTACCCCCATGCTGACATTGCACCATAAATGGAGTGGAAGATTTATGAGATGGTTAATGTGCAGACTGAGGGGTACTCTGGACCTTACAAACTGGCAGACTCTAAAGGGATGTGGCCGTCTGTGTGCTATAAAAACAAAGGAGACGTAGTGTAAGAACTGTAACAGAATAAGTATGCATAGAGAGAGAAGAGAATAGTTTCCCAATGAGACATTCAAAGTTACTCTTCCCCACCTGGGTAAATGCCCTGCCAAACAGGGTTGGCCCGAAAAGCTTACCACGAGTCTAGGGCACCTTCTGGCAGGGAATCATGGGAAGGGGAAGCCTGGGATGAAAGAAGCACAATTTAAGTACCATTGTCAGCATCCCCATGTGTTTCTCACCCATGTGTCTCTTGTGTCTCTACGTATCTCTACCCTGTCCCCCAAGTATGTTAAATTACCCCAGAACTGGGGAGGTGACAAAAAAGAACACAGCTGCAATCCTCTAACCCACCAAAATTTCTTCTGCACATTCTTGAGCAGGTCACATGACCTGTACTTGGCATTAATTTTCTCATTTGTAAAATGAGGTAATCCTATCCATTTCCCAAGGTTCTTGAGTGAATTAATTATGTAAGTAATTGGTAAGTGACGCATTAGCCAAATGTTACTGTATTTTGTTTCTAATCATAATAAAAATTTCCAATATCACCTTTGGGTAAAACTGGGTATGTTCCAAATTTACATTTCCAATAATTGGATAAATGGTTCTGTGTTAATCTAATAAAATATATATTTTTATCTTCCCACAGAACTAGTTACCCTTCTAATTTCTTTATTTTGGTGAAATATGTCTGTCCCACATGGTTAGTAAATCCAATCGGTCAAATGTCTTCCCAGTTTTTCTTTTATTATATCTCTTGAAGCTATTCTTTCCTGTCTATTTTCAGAGGCACCATGTATGGGGAGCGCCTCACTAGTTTGCTGCCTGTTAGGGATCATGCCACCACCATCCCACTCAGTCTTTCCCTTCCAAACCATAAAAGAACCCTGACCTAGTGATTTAATCTATTTATCAGATGTCTTTTCCCTATTCAGAAACTTCAAAAGATGCCACCATATAGTCTTCATGATAGATTGAAAACCTGTTATCATATCAAAGTTCCCCATAACCTAACTTCTTTCTACCTTTCAAATTTGATTTCCTATCATTCCTTTTTCTTGACCATTCTACTCCAGCAAGATTGATGGGTTCCCTTTCCCCTGATCCTTTAATTTACTTCCCAGCTGCCTCTCCTTCCTTGTTCATTGTTTTTATTTCCTTGAAATTCTTGAACACTTTTTGTTGCAATCCTCCCACATTTCAGGACCCTGCATAATTCTCTATTTCATGGGAATCTCAGAATTTTTATCTTCGTTTCTGTTTTGACATGGTGTTCAACTTTGTTATTTATTTCCCTATGCATGACTTATCAGAATTCCTGGTATTCTTTTACATATCTCAAATGCTTTCTGCATAATAAGAACTGGCTATACATTTTTAAAGTGTCACCAGTAGTTGAAATTTTGCTCCCTATTATGTTTTTCTAAGAATGCTAGGAGGCCCCTTGCTTAGAACAATGAAATCTGCTTGTAGACAGAACGTTGAATATTTCGACTTCACTTCATCTACTTTGAAAGAAATTAGGTTTAGTTTCTCCGAGAACTTGATTATAGTTTATCAAGATATATTGGCAAACATGCAAATTCTTATTTAACCTAATGAAAGTATTGGCATTTTAAAGAGTCATCCCAGGAGATGACTAATAAAGAATGGTCCACTCGGCTAACTATTGAATGTTGGATCCAGACATCTCTAAATAGCTGAAAATTTCCCCATCTTTTACCAAGGAAAAGACACATCACTATGTGTCTCTGTTTTATTGTCCGCTAGCTATGTAATAATAGTTCATTTCTGATGACCATTTTTGACCTTGATTGTATCCTAATAGCACTAATTTTTTTTGTTTTCCCACAGTACTTTGGAAGTTTACTTGTCATTTTCTGTGTAGAACTGGCTTGTGGTGTTTGGACATATGAGCAGGAAATTATGGTGAGTTCAAAGTGGAATATAATCACAGCTTGAAAGAAACAATATTATTTGAATTTTTTACATTAGACACTTTGGAGTCATTTGGACACAGGCCTATTAATTGGAATGTTTATGCTCTATGATGACAAGTATTCCCAATACTTCTGAAAGATAACATTTTCTTTTCTGTATCTAAAACATAGTTCCAAATCATAATTTGTAATATTTCATCTGGTGTCTTTAGCTCCACAGATTGCTTTAACATGGATATATAGGCTAAAAATAATGTATGTTCCTAAACAATTTTACCAACTTCTGCGTATGGAGTAGGAAAGATTTGCATTTACAACCAAATTTACATAAGTTTGAAAGTCTTACAAAATGCTGCCATGTAGCTGCCTGCCGATGATGAGGAAGTGTGCGTGTCTTCTGTGTAGCAAACCCACCTTCTTCCACTTTAAGACGTGTATTTGAAAAGTTGCTGTGTTTTTCTCAGTTTAGAAACATTCTCAAAGTTTGAGACTTGGCTCTTCAGCATTTTACTCTTTCATTTTAACAATTAAAACTGTTAGAACAGCTTTTATAGTTATTGTGGGATTGGTCTCCCCAAAGGGTCAGATAGGCTTTCTTAATATGTCCAGAGTATGCCTTTCCGCATATGCGTCACCTTGGTATGTAGAACTAAGGTCAGTGGAAGCCCAGTGGACCTTGGGAAGAAACTATTACCATCACTTAAAGAATGCAGATTATTTTGAGTTAAGAGCCTTGAAGACCCTAGAGACTGAAGAGAAGCTTTTGTCTTTGTCTTAGTTCTTTTACCTTTTCCCTAATGGAAGAAGCAATCGCTGTTTCCTTTTTTATGACCTAGAAGATTGTTGGGGGCGGTATCATCCAGGTAGAGGTTTATCAATGACTATGTCCTCTCTCTCTGAGAGAAGACTATCATCTTTTCACTGTCAGAGTAAAGATGCAGTCTTCCTTCCTTGCCATATGTATTGTCCCCTTCTCCTTGACACCACAGGTCCATTTGCACAAGATATAAACCCCAGTTTGTCCCATTTTACTTTAGAATTTACAGCCTTGTAAATTCTCCATATGTTATTAAAATTTATTTTATTATTAAAATTATTAAAATTTGGCTTCCTCTCCTACTAATCTGTCCTCTATTAATTTGTTCATTCATCTAGCCTCAGAAGAACCCAGATGGATGGGGGAATTTTCCTTGTGCCCCAGCTCTTTGTTAGAATGAAGGGCTGTTCAGCAAAGATGCTACCAAACGTGTTTTGTTTACCACTTACACTACACCTTTGCTTGCATTGGATATTATTACTTATTTAATGTTTTCTCACTTTGTTGGTTGAAATTGGTGCATTTATCAATAATGAGGGCAAAGCATTTTTGCATGTCTGTGATTATTGGCTATTTTCATAGTGGCAGGCCAGGCTTTTCTGTAAATTAATTCAGTTGAAAGTAAGATGATGTTTTTCAACATGTAGTTCTTGGACTGTCTATAGCAGGAAGTTACGTAGGATGAATCTTAACAATGCACATTATGCAGCTCTGGGCCAGAAGTGCTAAATCAGAATAGAGGGAAAGGCAGAGGAAGAAGGGGGGTAGGACTGGATGCTTGCCTTTGTAACCAGTTCCCCAGGTGAGTCTTCAACATTTTAAAATTTAAGATTTCTAAAGAAGATAGGGAGGTTGTTTGTATTTGTTTCAGAGATGCATTTCAGCAGTTGTCTAATAAAATCAAAGCTGTTTCTGATACTGATGCCGTTAGTAAAAATTCTGTGGTGAATCGGTACTGTACTGTGACAGTGTTTTGAATACTAAGTGGTAATTACAGACCAGTAGGTACTCTGCACGCTCCAATTTACATGTAAACGATGCTTTGGTGCTGCAGCACATCTGAACTCCTCTGGAAATGCTCGGCCTGCACTGTTTGGCAATTCTCAGTAAGACAAAGAGAATTTATGATTCTTTTTTTTCTCTAGTAAACATGGCAAAGTCAGTAGAGGGTTTGACTAGTTTAATATCAAGTTAAGAACTTTCTTCAAAACTGATCCTCCCCCAAAAGTAGGAAATCTCTTGCTACCTTTGAGAATCAGATTTTTACTCTATCCTAGAACTTTGCATATTTAGTGGAATTCAAAGGTGGTTGGTTTCAAACTTTGCTTTTGTGTCTTATTCGTAAGAAATGGTCTTTTAATTGTTTTCAACAAATACATGTATCGCCTTGACATTCAAGCAATAGATAGTAAATCATATAATCAATTCTTGACCCCTTACCTCAGCTTTGATTGTGTCCTTTTGGCTCATTAAAAGGTTTTTAAGACATGAGCGTACTTTCCGTGGATTTTTAAAAGGCTTTGTATCATGTTCATGTCACACTAATATTTGATAAATCTAAGGTACACATGCAAAATGAATTAATTTAATGTACTTACAAGGAAATGCTGGGGTTCTAGTATAATCCTCAGAAACTTGAGGAAACTGAAAGGAATTTGGACTTGTATGGATGCTTTCTTCTATTCCTTGAAGGAATGATTTGCAGATATCTCCTTAGTATACCACAAGTAATAAAAGAGTGCAAAGGACCTTTTCAGTTGAGGGCAAATGTCACTGTTTGCTTGTGTAAATCTTCCTCATTAAGTCACCAGGAGAGAGCAAGTTTTTTAAAAGTGAAATGTGAAAAGTAGTCCATTAGGAAAAAAGTTTGTCAGATTTTTAAAAATTCCTTTTGCACTAATTGCAGTGTGAATGAAAAGTGCCATTAAAGTTTATTAGCTGCCAAATTTTGCAGAACCCAGCCTTTGCATAGAATGGGCTTTGTGCCCTTAACTGTTCCATGCAAGGAGCCAATAACTGTGTGTTTTTCCTTTATGGCCAGATTACAATATTTTGTGCCAGAACCTCAATGATTTCCTCTGTTTCTTGCCACATTTAGTCTCAGATCAATTGTGGTCACAAGGGAGAAACAACATATTTATTCTGGAAAATAAAATTAAAAATAAGACTGTTGTAGTAACCAAATCAAGAGATTTGACATCAGAATACATTGCTCCATTACTTCTGTTGCTTATACATATTTGCCTCTTTTATTCCTTCTCTTGAAGGAAATCTATCAATAATATTGCTTCAGATGATCAATTTTGAGGAAACTTATTTAACTTCCATTTATTTTATCAAAAGGATATAAAATAATAATTTATCATGAGTAACTTGAACTTTGGTTAGTTCTTTGAACTATGTCAAAAACCCTATGGACACAAAATAGACCCAGACTATTATTTAGGAAGTGAAATTGAATGCTGGGCTATTTGCTTATTATATATTTTGCATTTCTAAGTTTACAAAAACGAACATTAATAAGGCAGGAAACATGAAAAAATTCAGTGGAGAGGATTTTTTAGATTACTTCTCTCAGGATTACTATTTTTAAATGGAAGATTCAAAATCATCCTGATCTTAACATCTATTGATCTCTTTTGTACTCACCTCTGTCCTTTCTCTTTTTCCTTCTTCATCTGTATCCTATGTCTTGAGGATCAAGATTGCTAGACAAGCCCTGTGTCACTCTTTCTAGCAGACCTAGGTATCTGTCGAAGTTTTGGAGAGTTACTTTAATGTCACACTTGTGTGGAAGCGAGGATCCATATGCCTCAGTTTCTTCTGGAAACTGTAGATAAAACTGCATGCAATTTGCAGCAACATGGATGGAGCTGGAAGGGATCATGCTCAGTGAAATAAGCCAGAAAGAAAAGGAAAAATACTGGATGGTCTCACTCATAGCAGGAATTTAGAAAACCTAAATAAGGGACCAGGAAAAAACCTAATTATAATAAAGTAAAAATCAAAATCAACAAGCAACTATAAACCAGAGACACAGTGGGGATGAGGAACGGGGAGGAGGGATTAGGGTCAAAATAAGGCAGGGGGTTGGGGGGGAAATTATATGGGGATTATAACTAAGATGAAAATGCATACACACTGTGCAAAAGTGAAAAATGTAAAAAATAAAATAAAATTTTTTAAAAATTAAGAAAAAAATAGCTGTCTGGCCAGCTATTGTGTTGTATACCTGAGGTTCTGTCATAAGTAAACATTTTATTTTTTGGTACATGGTGCCATGTGAGCTAAGAATTGAAGCACAAAAATGTTTTAATTTGAAAACTGTTCTTTCTAGAATTCTAGTATGCTTCAAAAGCCAATTTCTGAAAAATTACTTATAAAATTATTCCAGAACAAGGCTTAACTTGATCTGAACTCTTTCCCTTCTCAATTCTTCCCCATTTATTTTAGTACCTTAGTCTCCAGTCACTTCAGAGAACTTCACATTATGAAATCAAATCAAAGGGCATATCTCTTGAGGGATCATTTGTTATGAAGAGCATCTTGGTGTAACTGTAGAATAAACAGTTTACTTGGTTTGTATTTTCCTTGAATTTAATATTGGCATTAAATGACTTCACATTATTTTGATTAATTTGAAGAAACTCCTCATTTTGTGCAAAAATCTACATATGGAGATTGTTCAATAAATGTTTGGTAACCCTGAGCTTAATTTAGACCACAAATATAAATTGAAAATAGTATATACCTTTGCAATGTATTTATATTTGAGTAGGTGTATGAGCCTGAGTGATTGTGTTTGTGACTGTGTGAGCATATGTGTGTGTGTGTCTCTGTGTGTTACAGTTGTTGACTTTTTTTTTAATCTGCAGGTTCCAGTGCAGTGGTCAGACATGGTCACTTTGAAAGCCAGAATGACAAATTATGGTTTACCTAGATACCGGTGGCTTACTCACGCTTGGAATTTTTTTCAGAGAGAGGTAATTGCTCTAATTTCTGAGGGAGAAGGTATGGAATAAATGGCACACTTTCAAAACAAACATTTGAAACTTTGGCTTTGGTCATTTCCTCTGCACTGAAAAGTTAAGTCTATGATTTAGTTACCATGGGTATAATTCTTTATTGAGAAATACCTTAAGTAACCCCATGCCCTGCTTTTCTTCCCATGCAAGCCTTTCCCCTTCATTTTACAAGGTTCAATTATATTTTAGAATTTTTCAAAAGTCATTTTGCTAAACTAATGTGAACTTCTTCATTATGAGAGTTACTTGATAAATATCTAAATTCTATTTAAATAGGAAAATTTTCATGACTTTTAGAGCTATCTGTATAATTTTCAAATCACAGTTCTAATTTGAAAATTAGGAGTCACTATCTGATTAAAGGCATAAGCTTTCCAATCAAAATCTGGCTCTGCTGCTTATTATGCAAGCTTCTAGAATTTCGTTAACTTTCTTAAATCTCCAGCTCCTCACCTATAGAATGGGGATAACAAAAGTTCCTACCTCTTTGAGTTGTTGAAAAGATTGAATGGGATCATAAATTTGATTTTATCTAATTTGTAGTTATTAACAGTAATATTACAGAGTACAGGCGCTCTTACCTTTTTTTAACCTAACTTCCACATAGCACTGACCAACTCATTCTCAAATGGGGTCTATATTTAGATACTCAGTATCTGGGCACTTGCTGTCAGTCTTGCTTCAAATCAAACTCTTCTCCTAAGCAGTGTCCTTGTGATTGGAGTGTATTCCCAGATGAACAAGTATGTCATTTCCCTTTAATTTCATTTAGAGCTGGACCACAAAGCTTTAGAGCTGGACCACAAAGCATTCAAGAATCATTGTCTTGCATCACAGATATCCCACTCTCTGCTCATTACTCTGTCTTAAATATGGGCAGAGGTTCAAGTCTAGGATCATCTCCAAATCTGACTCTATGTTACAGTTATTGAGATGGTAAAAATTATCTTGTAACACACATTTCCTGTTTATGTAAATGCTTCCTGACTTTGTTTGTTTACTGTTCATTTGTACTAAAAACAACAGGAAGAGAAAATAAGTGAAGCATAAGGGAATTTATAGTAAGCTACTGTCCTGGGTGGAGGCTGCTTTATTTTCTGGGATTTGTGATGCAGACCATGATAATCTTCATTTAAAAACAATCAGTTGTTTTGTAATGGTACGAAGAGACCCCACCTAAGTATACAATGAAGAAACACTGCAAAGGACAGCACGTGTATTTTTAGATTTGTTGCATGGTTAAGTTCCCTCCTCTATATCCTGCAGCTATTTGACACAAAAGAAGATGTAAATTATATAGAAATAACAAAATAAAATAAAGTAAAAGGAGTGGTGAAGTCCTCTGGGTTCCCTGCAAGAGTTTCTAAAGATCTCTCAGTTTAGTCTGCTAGGACTGTGGTGGTAAAGAAGTATCACAGAACAATGGAAATGTATGTCTCAATTTTGGAAGCTGGAAGTCTAGAAGGTGTACAGGATTGATTTCTCCTGTGGCCTCTTTCCTAAGTCTGTCAAGGCTGTCTTCCTGCCATCTTTACTCTATATGTCCATGTTTTAATTTTCTTTTCTCCTAAGGACATCTGTCATATGAGATTAGGGTCATCTCAGTGATCTTATTTAATTTTGTTATGTTTCTAAAGATCCTTTCTGCAAATTTTGGAGGCTTGACCTTCAACATAAATGCGGGGGCAACAATTCAGCCCATACCACCTCTCTTCCAGAATAAATTGTAGACCTGAAAACAAGCCTGGTGAGGCCTCATTTCCCCTGACTGCTCAGTAAGTGTTGTTTTATGCATGTACCTCTATTTAGTGGACTTTCCCTTAAGCCCTAGTGACATGTCTACAAGACCTTTAAAAAACCTGGACCTTGAGGGCATTATGCTAAGAGAAATAAGTCAGACAAAGAAAGACACAGTATGATCTCACTCATAAATAGAAACTTTAAAAGAAAAAACAAACACAAATCAAACTCATAAAGGGCAACTGGTAGTTGTTGGAGGCAGGAGTTTGGGACTTTGGCGGGAAAGGTGGATATAAGGGGGATGGCAAAAGTAGGGAAAAGAAGTCAAAAAATACAATTTCAGTTATAAAATGAACAAGTCATAGGGATGCAATGTACATAGGGACTACAGCTAATAAGAATGTAGAGTAATTTAAAAGTTGCTAGGAAAATAGATCTTAAAAGTTCTCATCACAAGAAAAATATTCTGAGACTATGTGGTGATGAATCATAGATTTATTGTTATAATTTTGCAATATATAGAAATATAGAAACATTATGTTGTACACCTGAAACTAACATAATGTTTATATCAGTAATAGCTCAATAATTAAAAAAAAAGTTTCCCTCATGGAGAAAAAATAACCTGACTTTTAAAAGTTTATTTCAACATAATGGTTGGGAAGTAAGCTTTGGTATAAGTAGCCTCTGCCACATATTCTGTGATTTTGGCAATTTATTTGACCCACTAGAACTTTGGTTTCTTCATCTGGAAAATGATGATGGTATTTTCTAGAATTTGGCACATGTTCCCTAGAGTGGTGCTAGCTGACAATATGATTTTTAAAGGAGCAGGAAAACTGCAAAGATTATAGATTACAATCACGTGTGGCATAAGAATGGACTTGCTTAAAGGAATTTTCAGGAAAATGTTCAGTACCAAGTCTATATTTTTTGTTGCAAAAGGAAAACGACCATGTAAAAAGAAAAAAAATCTTAGTGACTTATAAAAAAAAATGCTTGGCACTGAATGTGAGATGCTTAAGTTTTTTGGAAGTTATTTATATGGAACACCTCCTTTCCTGACAAGGTCAGATAAATGGGCTGTTCTATTGTGGATGGGTTTGTGTGTTCCAAGAACTGTCCTTCTGTCATCGACATAGAAAAACACACATTGTTAGGAAATGAGAGACGTAGGTTTCCCTGAGTGTAAGGATTTGAAAAGACTGACTTGGAAATGAGGTAGTTTATGATTTTTAGAAAGTGAAGTCTTTTTACTGCATATGTTTTTATGGCTATTCAATGACTTACATAAAATATATGATGTCAAATTATATTTGATTTAATTTATCACACTTCTGGTATATACCTGGCTTTTAGAACAGTTTATAAAAGGAAAATGCTAAAAAATTAAAAAAAATGTTTCTTGGAAAATTTTAGTATTACTCATAGTGTTCAGTAATCCATCATTTATAATACTCTTAAGATGATTTTATTTTCTTTTTTAAAATTAGATATGTAGGCAATGGAAAAAAAAAATGGAAAATCACTGTTAGTATTACCCTTGCTACATTTGCATGAGAAGCTGAGAATTCTTCAAAGTTGATTTTAGTTGGATTTTGAAATGGTGGGTTGTGATATTTTATGATACAGTGTTAATCCTGGACACAGATGGATCTGTTGGGCTACATAACTCACAGAGCCAGTCACTTTTGGCCAAGTTCCTCTTAGTGACTGCTCATAGTCCTTGTTTTTGCCTCTGTGTAAGAGTAATCCTGCTCTATCCAAGGGTAGAAAATTATTCACCACAGTTAATTATTTTGGATCTAATGTGCATCTGTCTTTAAACAAGTGTTCTAAACCTTGACCAGAGGTAGTTTTTGCTAATCTTTGGTAAAATGAGACCAAAAAAGTAAAATTTTTCCTAAATCCAATCAAGGTAAACGAACTTCATTTTTCTAACATTATGTTGATGGAATAAGATCCTTTATTTTTAGAATCTCACTCATTTAATTAAAAATTTGTTGGTCCAAACTTGTGTTTAGATCTCAAAAAGTTTAACTGGTTAATGAATCCAAGTCTGGTAATCTTTGTGATGAGGAATCTCAAACAGATTTGGTGAACAAATCTTTCTACAGAGATTACAGAAATTTTCAATATAATATTTGAATTGGATAAATAATTAAACCAGTAACTAAGCAACATACAAATAGATTGATCGACTGTTCTTTAGAGGCTTGAGGTTTAATAATAAATGTAAGATTTCAGCTATTTCCTTTGATCATGTATATTAACTCCATTACAGTGGGGAATCTAATGGTTGGGGAGTGAGACTCGGTCATGTGTGATCTGTTCTCATGTGTTATGGAGTTCTTCATTACATTTCTGTCATCGACATAGAATGTACACATATCATTAGGTGATGACAGAAATGTGTTTAGTGCTGGGTGCAAACATTTAAGAAATCTAACATTTAATCCTTTAAGTTAAGAAAATATTTTTTCAGTTTCTGAGTCTGTGCCGTCCTTCTTTTGCAGTTTAAGTGCTGTGGAGTGGTATATTTCACGGACTGGTTGGAAATGACAGAGATGGACTGGCCCCCGGACTCCTGCTGTGTTAGGGAATTTCCAGGATGTTCAAAACAGGCCCACCAGGAAGATCTCAGTGACCTTTACCAAGAGGTAAGGCATATGTGGTTAAGCTATTATGAATACAAGTTTTCTTACAATGACCTTTAAGGAAAGACCTGACAACATGCCGATGAATTTTCTTTTTCTGTCAAAATATAAAGGCCTTTCGATTTTTTTCTCTGATATTGGAGAAAGAGGATAGTTAAAAATATTCAGTATAAAGCTCTGAATACTAATCACATTTTAGCAAAGAACATTGGCAAAGCTAGGTATTAGAATTCATTGCATTTTAATTTGTATTGTCTAGAACCATTTTCTGTGCCACCTCCTGGGCGTCCTTTGAAAACAGACATGTTCAGATTCTGAGGCGGACTCTGAAAGTTTAGGAGGAGAGGGTTAGCAGTTCCTGAGCAGAATATGTATTTTAGGGCCTCTCCTTCCACTAAAACATACCTCGGGAAGAAAGTCCCACTCTCCAGCAAATATGCTGTTATCTACTCTTCACTTCCCCCTACTGGCCAATGACCAGTGTTGATAGTATTAGTTCACTGATTTAATGAAATTAAATGTTCACTGGTCTTCAAACCAATTGTCACATTCTCAGAAATTTGCACATTGATGTTTTCTGGAAGCATTGGTCAGAATCATCAGTTATTCTTTTATTAGCAAAAGTTTTCGCAGGCCTTCATTTTTAGTGGTGATTTTTAAACTTTGTTAGCAGAAGAATCTTAATTTCAAATTAAAATCTAGAACTGTATCATTTAACATAATAACCTATGGTTACATGTGGTTGTTTCATAGTTTCCTTCTTTAGAGGTATACGCTATACATACATATGTGTGTTATATTATGGCTAATGCAAATACTACTGACTGTCAAGTCAGAGGTTTTCCACATTGTGATCCCCAGGTAACAGGTAGGTACTTGATTGAAGTTATATCTGGGAGATGACTTCAGACAGAACAGTATCCCTTCACTTCATTTACATTTTGGGTTTCCAGTCTAGATCACTACTGTCTAATAAAACTTTCCATTATAATATGTCTTATATCTGTGTTATCCAACATAGGAGCTGCTAGTCCAAACAGCCCATTGCATCTTGACATGTGGCAAGTGCAACTGAAGAACTAAAAATTGCATTGCATTTTAATTTAAACAAATTTTCAGTTTATGAAACATGCATTTGTATATATTTCAAGATGGTTACCTTAGGAGATTATACATTTCCCTCTAGACATACTATTATTGTTCAAAACATTTTTTTAGGCTGTCTGCCAGTCAGTTGTGGAGATATTTAAAAAAATCAGTTTCATTAACTTATAGTATAGATTAACTAATTTGAAAAAATGGCTGGTTATCCCTGCACAGATGATCCATCATACTTATGTATGAAATATAAGTAACTAACTTCAGGCAATTGAAAAAATTACCTCAGAGGACAAGACTATGCCATGTTAAAGGGGATCCAAAGTAAACTGCTTGGGCTCTGAAGGCAGTCTGCAAAGAAGTGTGTGAAGTATTTTTTAAGACTCAGAATTGTGTTCATTTTCTCAGACTGCTGTCATGAAGAACCAAACCGAGGGGCTAATAGTACAGATGTGTCTCACAGTTTTGAGGATGTAAGTCTGACATCAAGGTGTCAGTCAGCAAGGTTGATTCCTTCTGAGGAGTGTGAGAAAGACTGCTCTGTGCCTCTCCCTCAGCTGCTGGTGATCTGCTGGTAACAGTTGGCCTTAGATTGTAGAAGCATCTCCCCAATAACCACACTCATTTTCACATGGCCCTTTCCTCTTTGTCTTCACATCTCTCCTTTTTATAGGGAAACTGCCTATAATGGCTTAGGGAGCAACCTTTCTTCCTTTTTTTTTTTTTTTTTTTCTGTTTTACATTTTAAAAGGACAGGTTTGTTAGGAGACCCCTGCATAGTCACAGGCTGGTGGGAGAGCGGCCAGGGACCGACCCTTCTCTAGTATAACCTCATCTTCACTAATTACACCTGCCAGGACTCATTTCTAAATATGCTCCTACTCTGGGTCACCAGGACTTAGGACCTTCATTCACACATGCTTCTGGAGGGGACACATTTCAGCTCATAACAAGAATTGTTGAAACAACTAAATAACTGAGGTTGTTTATTTTAAAGGACCATCAGAAATATTTTTGAGTCATGCTCCATACTACTGATATGCATTATGTTTGCATGTTATCATTTTATTTATTTATTTATTTTTTTAAGATTTATTTATTCATTTATACAAGCACTGGGTACAGTCAGAAGCGGGGGAGGGTGAGAGAATTCACCAGAGTCAGAGCAGGATGCAGAACAGGCAGAAGGACCAAAGTACACTGCTGAGGGGAGCAGCGGGCGGCAGGAGAGGTCTAGCGCGCCATGTGGGACCCTCCTCTGGTGGCCAGGGAGCAGCCGGGGATAGAACCGGCGCTGCAGAGGCTGCGGGCAGCTTCGCAACCCAGCGCTCAACCGCTACGCCACCGGGGAGGCCCTGCATGTTATCATTTTAAACATATTGTGTTCAGTACCATTTTTGGCTTTGAATGAAAAGGAATATATATGATATTTTATACCAAACAAAGAGTGATTGGGTCCTTGTCTTTGAGGTCCTCGGTGATCCTGCTACATCTTGTTTTCTGCGTGAAAGCTGAATATTGACAAGGTCTGTAGTAGGGGTCAACTAATAAGTAGAGCAGGTAAAGTCCTGCTCATTCTATAAAACAGAAAACAGTGCTTAACATTTCTAAGCTACTACTAAATGCACAAATAATTATGGATATACAAATTCATTATAATATACCACTAGGTTTTAAGTAAAAAGATGATTATAGATGGACATGTGAATTGAAACAATTTTCCTACTGTGAACTTAATCCATTTGTTAGTTTTTAGAAGTAGCAAGTTACTATGGGAAATTTTGAGGCTACGACACCATAGTGTAATAATTTCTACCTTCTTTACTGATTGATATTGATGATTTGATAAGGACCAGAGCTGATCATGAGGATGGCAAAACATGAATAATTTACCAGCTCTTCCCACAAAGTCTGAATATGGACAAATTCCCTTCAATTTTACTTTATTTAATCGCAAGATGTTCAATTAAATGTCTTATAAATTTACTTGTAAAAATGCAATTCATTTTTACTAGTTTGTCTTAGATTATTTCCTCCAGCAGTATTTAAATGAAATGCCGTACCTTCAAGATGTCTATAATTTAGACATCCATGAATTTTAAGATTTAAAAGTAGCCACACACTTGTGCTTCTGCAAATTGATGACCCAGATTGTTTTAAAAGGTTTTTTTTCCGTGTTTTAATCAGAAGACTCTCAGTTCCAAGTTGGCATTCACTTGTACAATGTTCTTTGGACAGATGTCCAGCAGAGGTGGAGGTTCATTACATCCAAGTAATCTAATTGTAAAATTACATTTTAAAATTAATCATGGATGCTGATATTGGTAATGATATGGTATGTAATTAGATGCATAGTTGACTTACAAAGTGGATTTCTCAGTGGCTTTATGGCACTGAGTACTATTAAATCTATCATTAAAAGTAAGACTTAATTCCACTTTTCCTTGGTGAACATATGTTTCCTAATTGCAGTGTGCCGAGAAGTCACAAGATGAGGGATCTAGAAAGAGGAACAAGTGAGGGATAGCTAGAGATATTAGGGATGTTTATAATAAAGTAGCAAGTACTAAGAGGAGCTATTTTAGATGTCTTCAAATATTTCAAAGTTCATCATTCAGAACAGGAACTCGACTTACTCATTGTTGCTCCAAGGGCCAGAAGTTACAGGAAGGAAATTTTGAATCAATAGAAGGAAGACCTTGCTCATCAAAATCCGTCCAATTGTGAGACAGTTTCTCTTGCAAAATAGTGAAGGTCTCATCACTAAAAATATTAAAGTCAAGGTCAGAAAATCATGTCATGGGTGGGTAGAATGGGTTTTTAAATTAAGAGTGAATCTGTACTAGATGAACTTCAAGGTCCCTTTTATCTTTCATATTCTGTAAGCTCAGAGATAAGAATTGGCTTACTTCCTGCAATCTTTCTTCAGTAGTTTGAAATCAAGGAAATAAATCATTCTCATCCATCTGGTGACCTGCATGGGCCCTGACCCAGTAATATTTTGTGACACATTTTCAAACCTGTGAAAAATGGCAGAACAGGAATACAGCAACAATTGCACATTTTAGCAGTGTTCCTATCAGAGGTATTGTTGTGCTTGGAACTTAGCTCCTCAAATACCTTTAATAATCTACACATTTGTATGAAAGCATAGATTTTAAATCACAGAGGAAAATGTTGCAGACCATGAATTTGGTGTGATCACATTCATTCAAAATGTTTTGTACCTGTGCATTCTGGGTGCCAAGGATGCAATGGGGAACATTGCAGACAAAAATCTCTCCTCTTGTATAATTTATGTTCTTGTTAGGGATATAGACATTTTACAAGAAAAAAACCTACGACAATAAAAACCATCCCTGTGGTTGTGAGCACTTTGCAGACTCTGAACAGGGACATGTGCTGGAGAATGACTTAGTTGGTGAGGGAGCTGCTTAAAATAGGATAGTCAGGAAAAGGCTCTCTTAGGAGGTAATGTCTGAACTGAGACCAGTGGATGAGAAGGCTGCAGCCATGGAGAGATCTGTTGAAAGATATTTTTGGCCTAGGGATCTGCAAATGCAAAGCCTGCAGCAGGAGACCCAGGCCAGTGGTTCCTGACCACCTACTGCCCTGTCCTTTGCAACTGTGTGACCACACACTCACTAAATATTTTATCATAGGTGAGACTTGGTTTCAGCAAAACATCAGACTCAGAGTTCAAGTTGGTAAAATGCAGGACTAGGATGTAGCTTTCTCTCACCTGCTGAGTTTTCCATCAGTTACTAAAGTTTTGTGTCTAGACTTGATAGGAGAAGAAAAGCAGAGAGAATAAAGCATAAAAAAGGCCAGTGGGGAAATAGTCTTTGTAGAGTAGGGACTCCCACCTTCTTGCTCAGGGACGTGTATTCTTTTTGGGTGGGCTT